AATGTCTTTGCACTTTGTTTTTGCACTTTGTTATATGTGTATATATGTGTATCTGTGCACATTAATTGTCTCACTACTGTATGCAAATGACATACCCCAAGATAAAGTATATATAATCTAAAGATAAAGTATATATAATCTTAAAAAGTAGCAGTTGATCTGCATAATATTTTTACTATTCAAATGAGATTGGGGTTTTATTAGTGGTATAATGCGTGTGGGCAGGAGCTCATTGCTGAAACTGATCATTTTTTCTTTCATTTTCTGTCCAGATTGGGCCGTCGACGCTGACTGTTGTGAACATTCGTTTGCGGGGTCCTGCCCCTGAGGGAGAAGCCAACGGGAGGAACCACTCTGAGCCCCACAAGGCTTTGCGCTTCACCGACAGCATGCAGGAGATCCTGAAAGGTCAGGTCTGAGGAGATTTGAACATACCTGGAAGGAATAAGCGACTTGCATGTAATCAGACGTATTCTCTGTAATATTTGCTCCTGTGTGTTTCTGTCTCATTGAAGTGTCTGTTGCTCCGCAGGAGAGAAAGACGTGATGGTGCTGGGGGAGTTTGGGCGTCCACCAGACAGTGGAGAGCTCGACCTTCTGAAGAAGGAGAAGTTCAGCGCTCTTATACCTCCAAACATATACACAAACATCAGCACCAAGTCTCCCCAGGGCTCCTCCTGTCTTGACAACATCTGGCTGAGCCGGTCACTCAAGAAAGCTTACACAGGTCTGTGCAAATGTACAGTCTCTGACAACCCTGGTCTAGGGAGGACAGAGTCGTAAACATTTAACTTTAAAACGCTGCTCATTCCGTCCCCCTTTCCCAATGTACTACGGTAGTGGGCGGATTTCAGTAGAAACAAAAATTATTTATAAACAGAAAGAGGAAGCAAACACAAATTTCCTCGGGAGTGAGGCACTAAAAACAACAAACAGAGCAAACATTATCCTCCCATGATCTTAACCTACCAAACAGAAGTGAATAAACAACAGAACTACTGCCTCCCTACTTATCACAAAAACAGAGGAAAAAAAAAATCTGTGCACACCCTCTATTGCTTTCTTACCCCGGATAACATTCGTTATTTGATTAACTGTTTAATTATTCTAGACGAAAAGGAATGTTTGCTCTGTTTACAATATGTACAGGGTTAGCAGATGAAAATCTCAGACATTAAGTAGCTAATAGGCTCTCCAAGACTGAGTCCTCATTCCTTCCAGCCCCGAATCCCTCAGTCTCCCAGCAGTGGCTGTTTTTGTGCCTTTTTAATTTCATTAACTGTGTTTTGGCTGCCTGTGACACCCTTCTATGTCTCTGCTGGGTTTTTCCAGGTCACTCTCTGGTGGTGAGGGAGGGCCTGACGAATCCCTGGATCCCCGATAACTGGTCGTGGGGCGGGGTGGCATCCGACCACTGTCCCATCCTTGTGGAGATTTATGCTAACGTGGTTAAAAAGGAGGAGATGAGAAACGGCAGCGCTGTGCCAGTGGTGGAACGTTGTGAGAGCGCATCCAAGCACGAGCGCTGACCTGAACCCCTGCCCTCCAATTGGACGCTTTTGGTCTGCAGACAGGAAATGACATCACGGGATCCTGTTCTGCCGTCCAGGCTCATATTGTGGCAAGATTAAGTTTACCTACTAATGTGAACAGCACCAAGATTGCCTTTTTAATTCGTCTTCCATGTACAGTAGAGGTGACGTTATATTATCAATATTATTATAAATAGCCAATAAGTGCATATGATTTATATTACGGGCTCTGAAATGTGCCAAAACCCCCCAGGAGGAAACTTTGTTAATTATATCTGGTCCTTCCCCTTGTCTAAAACAGCTGCTAACTGAGGGACACTTTTAGACGCTCTTTAATATAAGAATCCCCGTGAAACCTGCTTTTACGTGTACTGACTTCTAAAGGTCAAAATCGATACCTTAAAATAAATCGGTTGTGAAAGAAAATGAAGTACTAAAGCCACAAAGTCTCCAAATGTTGGGGTCTGGTGCAGGTGCCTTTTTAGACAAGGGCTTGGTCTTGAGAAATATCTGTTGCTGAGTAGGTACATTTTATATTACATTGTATTTATCAGAGAAGAGGCAAAAAAAACTGTGTTCTGATATAATGTGTAAACAATGTTATTTTCCGACTTGGTTTTACTGAGAAAGACAGTGTCGTATTCTTTTGCACCCCCCCTCCCCCCACTTGCTTCTTATGAAGACTGTGCTGCCCTCTAGTGGCGTCTCTGTGTCTGTGCTGTTTGGCTTTTTCAGAAAATTCCTTCACTGGCAGCCTCATAAAAATGCAGAGAGCAACCTGGATGTACTGCTGTCCAAACAAGTTTAGGTGGGGGGGGGAGAGCACTGTTACTACAGTTATGGATCTCAGCAGGTGTATTATGACAGCGCAGCCAAATGTTTTCATGCAGTTGACCTGGAGAAAACAAGACAGGAAGAGGAAACCAAACCGCACCCCATAGACACGTTTGAAACAACAGCACCACTGCAGGCCCGGGGTTTCTGAAGCACAACAGCCCAGAAAATCTCCATTGCCTGTCTTAAAACTCAGGAAGAATGGGTGCAGCGAGTTCAGAGGTTTTGTTGAACTGGCCGGTTCATTTGAGTTCAGTGTCCAAAGTGGGGGGGGGCTGCCTGGCTTACTGAGGGCCCCTAAGAATAGAGTTGAATGGAACTGCTCTGAAGTATGAAGAACAAAGCCTTCTGTTGGCTGTTTATTTATCTTTCTTGTTTCTTAGCCCATTAATTGGATAGAATCATATCCACATTTTGTTCTTTAGTAATGCATCCATAGCCAGTTCTATAAGTGCTAAAAGTATCCATGAGTAACCAATTATTTTATTTTATTTATTTTTTAACCTGCAATGCAATTTACACAAATAGTCACCAAAAGCAGTTCAGCTGGCAAATTACTTGTTTAATCCACGTCTCTTTATTGTCATGTGCTACAGAGATTTCTTGCTTCACATTCAGGCCACAGTTCAAGAATGTTTTCTTAAAGATGTTAATAACAAAGCTGGCTGTCAAGGGAAATTCTGTTTTTCTTTCCTTCATGAAAAGGCTGAATACTGCCCCCCACAAGTTAATTTTAGAAATAAAAGCACAAGGCTTCCCCCCAAACAGGAGCTGAATGAGAGCAGGACTCGCACTACTTATATGTCCATGTTCAAATAATATAAACGTGGGGGGGGGGAATTATCTTAACAGTCAATCACTCTCTCACTGTTTTACCTTTTTTATTATGTTGTGAAGATTGTCCAACTCTTCCACAGGTTTCAAGACAAGGTACATCAGGGAAAAGTCTGTCTGGTCTGTAACATTGTAACATTCAAATCCTGAATTCTGTCACCCAGATTTGACTATGCAGTGAAGCAATATAAAGGTTATTGAGGGATGTACACTGGAAGTTGTATAACGACATGCCATCCATAGCTCTGTGTTTGCCTTTTAAAGATGTTTTCAATGGAATTTCCCCAGAGTAACAGGCATGTTACTGCAGTGCTGTCATTTCTTGACTAACCTGTCACTGTATTCGTTCCCTTTATCTGCTGGCTCCATTTGGCCAGAGCAACAAAATAAAAACTGGATTCATGGCAAAGACTAACTCCTAAAAGCATTCACTGAGGTCAGCAGCCAAAAATGACGGCTTCCACACACAGGACCTGAGTTGTTTGTCTCCTTTCCATTCAAATTGTTTTGTACCCATGAACTTCTAGAATCCTGATTACTCGTATATACAGTACCAGCCACCAGACTGGCACACCAAGCCGTCTACAATGGAGTGTGACGGTGACTCATCACCTGGCCACCTGACCAAACCACAGTAGAAATGGTTTTGGAGACGTTTCCAGAGAGCAAAGAAAAAGCAGCCAATAAATGCTCAGCATATAGACAGCAGGGTCAGCCAATCCCTGGAGCGATTGGGGTTAAGGGTCTTTCTCAAAGGCCCCATAGTGGGATCATTCTGCCGACTCAGGGATTTAAACCGGTAACCTTCTGAGTCCCAACCTACAGAGCTAACCCCCTCCCCCCGCAATTATATTTTTTTGTTGGTCAGTTTATAATTCCATATACGTTATTTTATTATTCTAAAATGTAGTACATATGAACTTCATAGGTAGGTGTGTCCAAACTTTGACTGGTACTATATGTTGCTGAAAAATGTGCATTATCCTGATAAACTGTCAGCACAGACATGGTGAGATGATTTAAGGTGTGGATTTGAGTAAGTCTGTCCCTATATACATACACACACACACATTTTTAATTCACCAGCATACCAATATAGTAGAGTATTAGTTCCTCTTAAATGTGTAAGATGTCAGTAAGAATAATAATGACTATTTCTCTTATATACTTGGTTAGGCTTAGGGAGTTTGATTCACCCCTTGCCAATATTATATGGAAAATGTAAACAGGTTGAAAGAGTACCTTTCGGGTCCATAAATGGTTTCCTGGAGCACAAACATGGCCTAGCAGTGCTCCTTGTGACACATTAAGCATGGACTGTCTGTAAAGGTGCTATCAGTTTGCGATTCCTTACTATGCATTGTAGAGGTTCACCACAGAGCAATATTCCTTTGCTCTTAGCCTCAAGTTGCTGAGTACTCTTGCTGTACTACATTATATATGTTTCACTGTTGTCGTTAATTCACACTTAATCACCAACATCCATCAGTTTCAGTTTTGAGGCAATATGGACTTTATAAAGGGAAGCACAAGATGCCCATTATAGATTATCAAAACGGACTCACCAAGACATTAAGGTCAATTAGGGGACACCAATACAGCTGAGTGGCACCTTGGACGGTGTATATGACAGAACAGCAATACCTGCAGAAGCGCTGAGATGCCCGCAAATAATTCACTCTCAAAATATCTTCTAATCTATCGCAGTTCCAGGACGAAGTCATGTTGCCCGCACTGAGCAAAAGCTAATGGCTGGTGAGCAGTAGGTGGCGCCATTACACCCAAAATTGAAGCTTTGAATAGAATAGAATAGCAAACTTTATTGTCATTCAGAACATACACCGGTTAGTGCACATCAGAACGAAATTACGTTGCATTGACTCACCATCGGCCCAGCAACAAGCAACAACCTTAACAGTCGTACAACTACGAAACGAGTTATTTGTTCGGCGGTTACCTTTCCATGATATTTATGTTGTGACATCCATGATAAATAATACTAGCTGCGATTTAAATAAAACTGATTCTTAGCATTTTAACATGTACTCTTAAAACGCTTGAGTTCACACATATTTAAATCGAACCTACAAACTGACATTATCTCACCGCATTCATCGTCCGTTTGGCCGTACTCATTTTTAAACGTTAAAACTTAGATGTACGCACGGAAAGCACATAGAAGGTACATGTCTTGTTTCTCTCAGCAGGCCGTGTCTTGTTTTTAATTTTTTTCAGAAGATTTTCGTCACATGGAATCTGTCACACTTCATTTGTTTTTTCCTCAAAATGTAATGGATAACATTTAAGAGAGAGAACAATGAGTGTATATAACAATACAGCGCATTTGGTCTTTATCTCCGTTTTAATAAATCAAAGCAAATTCCTGAAAGGACAAGAACTGAACCAGCAACGTTTCCCAATGTGTGCATGTGTACTCGATCTGTTACAGGTGAGGAAGGACAAGAACAGCAGCGGCAACAACGAATCAACATCAACGCAGTATTTATGAATAACTCTACAATGACTTTATAGCTTTCTGTCTAACCAGGTAAGGGTTCACTTGATAGCTGGTTTCAAAGCCATCTGTTCTTCAGAGGGCAAATTATTTCATTTAGTCCATGCCAGGCACCAAAAGCAAGATATACATCTTATTTGAAGGCAGTGTTAATACTATTGTATCTTCAAAGTGATTTGCTCAAAATAAAGTAGCAACTAGCTTCCAAAAATTTAACATACATGTTTCAAGGGAGCCGCAGCACTGGTGTTGAACCACGTAAAGGAAACATCGTCATTATGTTTATAGGTTAAGGGCGGAGGGTTTGCAGTTTGTAGGACTTAGCGGTACTGCTGCTGTTTCACTGGCATGTTCCATTCATACAGATCTGCAATGGAAAGGTTTACAACATGTCCAATTTATCAGTTACATCGTAATAAAATATTCTCCTTTCATAATCCAGCACTTTTTTAGACATGCACATCATTGGTATGATAATTGAAATATTAACTGGATATATGCTAATTAATTATGATAATTTTGAATAGTAAATTATATAGCCTATACGTGTGTGTGTGCGCGCGAGCGAGTTTATCTATCCTTATGGGGACATAATGTCCCCATAACGTGATAAATATCTATTTTATAAAAATCGGTGACTGCTATGAAAAAACTAAAACTGCAAAAACTCTTGTATTTTGTTAGGTTAATTATGGTTATGGTTAGGGCAGGGTATAGGGGTTAAGGTTGTCATAGTTAGCGTTAGCATTTTTCCCATTGAAATGAATGAGTGGTCCCCATAAGGATATGTATACCCTACATGTGCGCGTGTGTGTGTGTGTGTGTGTGTGTGTGTGTGTGTATGTATATATATAGACTCAGAGGGGAATGATGTGTTCCAGCAAAGCATCACCTTCCTTACCTGGCATCCCTTGGTTCCTCTTGCCCATCAATCCCACAAAGGAATTGAGTTTCTGCCCTGGAAAAACAAATGTACAAGCCTGAGAGGGTCTATTTGACCACAAACCATTTACCTGCCTCAGAATGATGACCTTCACCATACTGTAACTGCTGTGCTCCTGTTCCAGTTACCACTCAGCTGCAAAACCCAAAAGATTTAGTTTGAGTTTATCGTGAAGGTCGGGTTCTGGCCTCGCTCACCTACCTGAGAGCCGCTCACCTACCTGCAAGTGTTGTGTTCACCTCAGTCCGGTGGGTGCAGGTGGTTTGATGTGTGGCATGTTTAACAAACTTTTGCTGTGTTCTACCTGACACTTTCTCAGTTCCAAAAACACCTCAAATCACACAACTTCAGCTTTTACTTTGTCAGTTATCACTGTTCTGATTTTTATTTAAATATCAGAATTGCATACAGTTTGCTTTTGATTATATATGTTTGCAGGTGCCTCTGTTGTCCATATTATGTTATCTTTAAAGTATATTCCTTTGAAAAAAAATAATTGTGAAAGCAAATTGTTCATATTATTGTGCAGCTTAGTGCAACGTAGATTTCTGCAGATGTTCTGAAAAAGCCCAATCTGTAAGTGGAATTGGATCGGGGAGTATCCATAGAATAACCTTGTTTTTATTGTTCACCGTCCCCTAAAGTTTATCTAGAGATTGTACTAGATTCAAAGCGTCACAGATTTGCATATCTCCGGTTCCTGTGCCTCAGAGCAGACACTCTGACAGAGACCCTCCTGCAGAGATGTAACACATTCAGAAGTTTACCCACAATGTTAGCATTACAGCTATGCCTACATTTCAATACACATTAGGTTGCAACAAGTGCCTAATAAAAGAGCCTGTTTATAATTCAAATATTAAACTGTTAGTTATATTGTTCATTTATTAACACATACAGTGCATATTCATGACAACTGCTCCTGTTATAAAATTAAGGACTGAATTATTATTTTATTTTACAAGGCTATTGGCTATGAACTAATTGGAATTATGTTTAAAAAGTAAAGTATTAAATATTCCAGATCTGACAGTGTTAAATATCGGATGAATCAACTGGTGCTTATTCCGTATGACATGGGCCACAGACCATAGACCATTAGCACATTACGCTAGCAAAGCCATACAGTGATGTACACACTTCACATGTCGTAAGTCCTACAGCAGTCCAACTTACATCGTCTCTGTAGAACGCTGCATTTGTTGGTGTGTGTAAATTTTTAATGGAGAATGTTGTTTGTCCCGCTATATTACATCTACCCCTGACATATTGGTGACTGCGGTTCCTTTTATAAGCTTCACTGGCACAGTGCTATTGTTCTTGCAGCTGGAAACACCAGTTAACTGCAGTGTCGTCGCCCCCCCCCCCAGTTCGTTACCAGCTCCTTGGCAATGTTCCAAAAGTCCCAAAGAGAGAAGACAGTGATGCTGTCTTCCGATTTCCCTAATTATACATTCAGTAAGATCCAGTTCTCTACCAGCACAGTGCGCATGCCAGTGTATAAATAGCATATACATTCAGCACTGTGGGTTTGAATCCTCTGTGTGGATTCTGTATGTTCTTGTTTTGCAGGTAATTCCATTGTGTAATCTGGTTTCCTGTCACTGTCCAAAGGAATGCAGCATCCTGTCCAGGGTGTACCCCTGCCTCGTGCCCTGTACTAATTAAGTTACACTGGGAATGAAAACCAAGCCACGCGGGACTGCTAAGACTTACACCGCCTCGGATTTCTTTGCGCACGGGAAAGACGCAGACAAAAGGTAGATGGATAATCAGTAATAAAAAAAAACTTTGAATCCTTACTGGAAGATCGTCTCCCCATTAGACCAAAGAACTGTTGAGGTCGAGGTTTTCTTGCTGCTCTTCTCAGTATAGTATTCAGTGCCTCAGACGTTAGCCTTGAATCCTGTCAGATACATTTATGTTACTGACATAATATTTGATACCTTTTCGCTGTCTGAACTAAACACAAACCGTCAATAAAATACCCCCAACGAAGTGGAATTTAATAATAATAATAATTATTATTATTATTATATTCAATAGTCCTTTATTACTTCGTTGTGATTCATAGCCTCTCCTGTGAGGTAAAAAGGGAGTAAACCGAGGAGAGTTAACGCAGTGCTGCAATACCAACCATTCATCTTAATAGCCTGTTTTTGCACCGCAGGCAGATATACTATTCACTCACTCACACCCTAAATCCCCAACATTGCATCTAAGAGGCTCCCCGTATATAAGGCTAATTCTTAACTTAAGTGACAAGCAAACGGAGAAGTCAGCGAAACATCGACAAAGTAAAAATCGCATTTCTTATATATGATAACCTTTTTGTACGTTCACAAATTTACAATCCTGTCAAGCAATCAGACAAACGTTCGCCAGATTTCAGAGCTGACAGATATGTCAGCAATAGGCTGTATGTCAGACGACAGACAGATGACTCACGGCGATGTGTACGGAACAGACAGAAAAAGTTAGACTTTTTCTCAAGTTAAATTCTGGTTAGATTAATACGATGAAACAAATTATAATATCTATATATGGATAAATATTTTTTTTGTCTCGCATTACTGACATACGAGTAATTTATGAGCCGTAAACCCTTTTTTCCAAGAATAACTGTCGTATAGTCTTTATCGATAGCTGCTTTTAATTTGGCTGGAACAATTTTAAAGCAGACTTAATACTTGATTTTATTACAATCCCCCATCAGTCATTTCTGCAGTACGAGACAAGGATGACAAATGAAAATAGTTTATTTCTTTTGTTATTCTTGGGTGAAATAGAGAACAACAGACGTAAAGAGAAAGTCGTGGCGAGAATCGAAAGTCTCTAAACGTGACTGTGGTGATGAAATACAAGACGTACAGTAACCAGCCATGAAACACATACCTGTATTTGGTCCCTGTCGATAAGGTCATTTTCATAGTCGCTGGGATCATATTCTTCGCAAAAAACTTCCGTCATAATAAGAAAGAGTAGGACAGCTGACAGCAGTTTCATTTTGCACGCTTAGGTCTGTACAGATCTTCAATCTAAAACACTATGTTTTTCCAGGTTACACGCCCGGGCAATGTGTGAAACTTCGCTAGTTTTATGCTGTACAATGATCACATAAATATGTGCAGGCTATTCTGACGAGGGGCTTTTGAGATGTTGCGAACAGGTGATATTTCGAGGAAAAATGTTATGGCTTCTTGAGAATTGCAAGGTTACACTCAGAAGAAAAATATCCATTCCATAACCTTACAAAATATTTGCATAGGTAACATCAAATCTGGCCAGGATCAGCGAGTCAAACAGCGCTCCCAGCAGCTCCCGTCGAGTCGACGTGGGCGCACCACCGTGTCCCACTTATATAGTATTGGGAGGTGTCGAGCATTTCAATTTTCTTTTTCAAATGGTTGTTTTTCGGGGGTCGTATGGAGATATCGTATGACGCATTTCCATCCCTTAATTGTCACGATCAATACTCAATGAAACAGCTCACAAAAAATATTGAATTTTACAAACAGGGACACTACGTGACCGGTTTTCTTCTGACATTTCCAATGCATTAACATTAGAGAAGGAAGCTCTATAATCCTACATTATCCATAACATCCAGAAACAGTACTAATATGTGAGTTACACATATATGTGAGATACATAAGTAGTAATTACATATAACATATATATTGAATCTCTGGAGTTGCTGCAAAACTCTAATGGCTTAATAGATATTTGGGATTGACACAGATTTGGGCATTTAAAATTTTAAAGTGATTCAGTTTCAGGTCAAACTCTGCTTTCATTCATTCATTCATTCATTCATCATACCAGTTTGTCTTGTGCATGGTCAGAGGGTCTGGAGTCTATCCTGGAAACAAGGCGATGAATGACCCAGGATGGGGCACCAACCCATCGCTGGGTACACACACCTCACAGACACATTCACACCTCACAGACACATTCATACCTCACAGACACATTCACACCTCACAGACACATTCACACCTACAGGCAGTCCGGCAACTCCAGTTCACCTTAGCATGTTTTAGGACTGGGAGAGGAAGCCAGAGTGCCTGATGGAATCCCTTGGATGACATGGGGAGAAGAAGCAAACTCCACACACAGGGAGTCAGAGTGGACACCGTTTCGATCCCATCCTTACAATTTTGTAATAAATGTTATGAAGTTTTGTTGTACCATAATCTTCCCACACAGTTGCCATTAGCTACAGTCTTACAAGTTTGAGAATTTAATTGGATTGCAATCAGGTGAGGTAACATTTTCAATCATTATTTTAATAAAATGCTGAAGTTTCTTGGACTGCACATTCTGATTCCCAGTATAGCTTGTCTAGACAGGGTGACAAATTAAGCTGAGATTCCAGCACATACTCAGGCAGGAGAAATGCAGCTTCAGAAACCACTGCTGTACTGCAACTGACAGAAAATGCCACAGACTGTAGGCGTCAATGTGCCTGATTTCTATACTGCTGTCTCACATGTGCAGGACAAAAAAACCACCAGTGTCCCTGCAGTTATTTAAGTGCCAGATTTGCAACAGACACTTATCTAAATTAAAGGTTAATGCAGCTGAAATAAAAAGATGTGGACATTATGTACTTGACTTATCGCTGCACATCCCTGCAAGCAACGTCTGCTGAATTATCAGAAAATGAAACGCTCATTGTATGCCACAGACACCTCCCACAGCAGGCCGCCCCTTCAAAATAGGCAGACTGGTAGAGAGGAGGCTGCAGGCAGGCCTGCCACCACAGGGATAATCATGATTTTGAGAACTGTCAGTGGCTACCATAGTTTACATCAGTCAGCAATACCCCAAATACTTCACAAAAGCAACTGAAATAGTAGGCAATGGAAAAGGAGTGTATTGCGATGCACAGGAATAAAAAAAATTTGAAGGCCTTGGTAGATGCGAATCATTCTGCTAAATGTTTTGGCTAAGTTAATGTAATCGCATCTGCTTCCGTTGTGGTCCATTTACACCAACATTTAAGCTTGTATTCGAAATATCGGGTGCAGCTTTTGGCAGAAGCGTAACTTCACACATAGTGGCAGAAGCGCAGTTCCTGTCAGGGGGGGTGGAGACAGAGCAGACGGGAGACTTGAGCTAATCAAGACCGGAGGAAAACTAAAATACAGGGACTCTGTGCAGGAAAATCACATACAGCTGCCAAAGTAAACGGACAGCCAGAGCTCAGTGTGAAGAACACCAGAAAATCTGATTGTAATTCCTGTCATTTTTGCTGATAATGACCTATTTTATATTTAAAAGACATTTACCATCATCACCCCTAGGTCGATGCTTGGCCACATGGTTCTAATCATCTATGAACTTGAATGTCTCAACAGAAATCGAGGCTCATCAGACCAGGCAACATTTTTCCAGTCTTCAACTGTCCAATTTTGGTGAGCTCGTGCAAATTGTAGCCTCTTTTTCCTATTTGTAGTGGAG